GATCGGCTTTGTGGGGAGGGGGGTTCGGGGTGAGAAGAGCCCCCTCGGGGCCGGGTGCCCACTGGTGTCCTTCCCTGGTGTCCCATGTGTTGCTCCCAGGACCTGGTGTCCCTCCCTGGGTGCTTGCCTCCATCCTCTTGGGTTGGGCACCCATCTGCGTCATCCTTGATGCCAGATACCTACTTGTGCTTTTGCCTGGGTGCCCACTCATGTCCCTGTGGGGACTGGAAGGAGGTATCTGTGTGCCTCCCTTGGTGCCCTCCTGTGTCCCTGTGAGGTCCTGGGCAAACAGCTGCCTCAGCCCTGAAAGTGAGCAGATCTCCTGCCTAGTCTCTGAGGGTTTTGTGCAGCCTGTCTGCTTGAATCCCTCCTTGCTGGGGCTTGATATAGGTGATCCAAAGCTAAGGCTGTGTGCCCAGTCCCCTGGTAAGAAGTGCTCAGCCCTGTGTCGGTGGGGTTTGGCACTCCCCTGCCCATGAGCGTGTCTGGGGCTCAGTGCTAACCAAGTGCTTCAGGGTTCTCCTCCCAGCCTAACACAGCCTTGTGCTATCAGCCTTCAGAAGGGATGGTTGGTTTGTTGAGATAAGGGCTAGTGATGTCCCCCTGAACTTAGAGAATGACCTGGATGTTACTCCCCGACTGTGGTGTTTTGCTGTTGGTGATATGGTATCTACCCCAGCAGTTGGGGGGAGAAGGTGTTGGGGTCCTGCTGCTGCAGCCCCCATGGCACTGTCCTGCCTGGGGTTTCTGGGACCTGAAGAGCTGTGCTCCTGTGCCTTGGAGCAAGCAGTGGCTGAATAGTTGAGCACTTGGCTCTGGAGCCTCTGTCTGATGGAGGCAGCCGAAGGAGAACTCGGTGTGGGACCCCCTTGGGACTGCAGCAGGTTGCAGACCTCCTCACAGCTGCTGCACGCCTGCTCACTGCTCTTTCCTTCTTGCTTCCCTTGCAGAGCACTACAAGCATCACTGGTTTCCTGAGAAACCCTTCAAAGGCTCTGGGTATCGCTGCATTCGGATCAATCACAAAATGGACCCCATTATCAGCAAGGCAGCTAGCCAGATCGGACTCAGCTTACCGCAGCTCTACCAGCTCCTGCCCAGTGAGCTCACGCTCTGGGTGGATCCCTACGAGGTCTCATACCGCATCGGTGAGGACGGCTCCATCTGTGTCTTATATGAAGCGACTGCAACAAAACCTGTGAGCTCCTATGGGATGCTTACCTGTAAGAACCAGATGATGTTAGGTCGCACCAGTCCTTCCAAAAACTACATCATGACTGTCTCCAGCTAAATCCTCCTCTTGTCCTTATACTGCCAAGATACAGGCTACTGTATACCTCACCTGAGGATCTATTTTTAAGATGAAGAGCTATTTATATTTTTTAAAAAAAATCAAAGAAAATCCAAAATTAAAATATTGGGCACTGCTTTGAACAGAAGCGGTGTTCTAGGTGCCTTTTTTAAAGCTGTTGCAAGCTTATGGGTTTTTATTATGAAGCCGATATCTACCTAATTAGTGTTGGATGGCAATTTTGGGCTGGCTTGCTCACTTGGGCAGCTTGAAATGGATGAGGGGGAAGAGCCAGGCTGGGAAGTGTGGCTTGGTGGTGGGAGATGTCTGTGTCACCTTCTCACCATCCTGGTACCCAACAGTATTGCTGTATTGCCAAGTATTGCAATCCTGTTGGAGAAGGGATGAAGAAGTTGCTGTCTGTCTTCTGCTAACAACTTCACTCCCCAGCTGGTCTGAGCTCTTTGAGGCCTGGATATAGTGTTTGGGGGAACCTTGCCTCAGGGCTGGGTGATGCTGGGGACCCTGGGATCCCTCTCCTTTACTCTTGTGGATCTCCTCTGGACCCACTTACTCCGTGAGCGTTGCAGCTCTGCTCTGCCCCACTCCCAGCACAAAGCAAGGGGGAGCATGGCCTTTCTCCAGCTCCCCCCCCATCTTCCCTGTCTGCTGCTGGACTGAAAGGGGCCACATGGATATCGGTGTGCTGTGAAGTAGAGCAAGGCAGAGATGCATTGGGGTCAAGCTGTGCAGAGAAGGTCCCCAAGATGAATATTGCAGTTGCTGTGGTGGCACTGGAGTGCTGTTTGTTCCTGGTGCTCCCCAGTACCTGGCTGTCACCCGCTGCTTGCTGCACACTGAGAAGGGTGCTCCAGACCCTGAAACCAGCACTGAACAGCTGTGAATTACAAGGCCTTTCTGCTATGTGTGGCTTAGACGTCAGCCCACAACCTGCTCGTGTGTGGCCTGTCTGTGCTCCAAGAGGAGTCTGGCCTCTTGCTTGTGAGAATTGCCTAATCCAATGCTGACGACTTGCCGTGTCACTTCTCCAGAAGAGCTGAAGCAACTTACCTTGTGCCGTAGAGGTTGGTGTGTGAGAACCCCCTTTGCCCTGTCTCTTAAAATCGGAAGTACTGGGGGTCTCTTCCCCCCTGTGTGTGTGTCCTCTGATGCTTTGGTGTCCTAACATTCTTCTAAAGTCACAGCTTCTTCCCTCTCTTCTTCCTCTGGGTGATCAGCAAGCGGCTGTCCCTGGGAGCTATCTCCACTGATACTTTGGCAAGGAGCATTGTTTGGTTCTGATCTCTTGGTACAAAACTGTTTTGCACAATTAATGCCTGGCCCTGTGCTCTGTCTATTCAAGCAAAACTCCTCTTGGAGTCCTGGTGGTACTTGTATTCAGGGAGACATCACCCAAGTGTTGTTCAGGTTTTGGCCCTTACACTGTTCTAGCTAACCACAAACGAGGTGGGAGCTGAAAGTGCTGCCCCAAGAACTTTACCTACCTGTTGGGAATGAGCCTTTACCAGGGTGTTGTATGTCTGTTGCCTTTTTACTAACCAGCTAGTGCTCCTCCAGTGATCCTGGGAGAACTGATTGACATGGTTGTTTGTAATGAAACTTTCCCAGATTTGTCTCTTGGCACACTTTTTAATGTTCCTCTTTTCTGACCTGGCAGCTGACTGACATAACCAGAGTTGTTCTTGCCCAGCCTTTGATGAATCAAGTTCTTGGACATTTGTGCAATATATTTCCAAATCTTGGGCGCTCTGGGAGAGGAAGGAAGCCTTCCATCTTCTACAGTTCTTAGCTTGGTTTTTTAATATATTAAAAAAAATTCAGCACAGCTCCCCAACTCTGACTACTGATGTGGAAAAGTAAGTTCAGATTTTTGTAAGCTTCAAATCATGAATTCCAGAACTGGAAAACCAGCCTCAATTCTTATAACTCACCATTTAACATTTTAAAAGGATCTTTGTCCTTGAACAGTAAGACTGTGACTCTGAAGTTGCATCACTTCCCTCTATCACTTGAATTTCTCATGTCAGCAAAGCAGAAGCTGAAATGAAGCACTGGGGCTTTTCCCTTGGTGAACTTGTGCAATAGGTGACCTCAGCAAGAGGGGAGTACTTGGGAACTTCCAAAAAGCAAATTCCCTTTTCAAGGAAAAGGGATCTCGGTGCTTTTTGGAGTCCTCACTTAACCTACTTATGTGGAAAGCCCATGATGAGAACTGCATCCAGGATGAGCCGTGTTTGCTTTGCTGGCCTCCTTGGCTGGATGTGGAGTTTCCTGAAGGCTGGTACTTCCTTGGGTTGTGATTTGTCACAATCAAAGCAGTCTTGAGACTTACACCCACCCCCCCCC